CTTTGCTTTGCCCAAATGGATTTTTAAAGTCAAGAAGACTTAAATGATGTATTTGAATACTTTCTCAGTGCCTTCACTGTCACTTTCCACCACTTTTAACTTCCTAAAACCTTCATCCAACAAAACCATCAGTAGAACTATTTCAACTCTGTGACATCTGTACAGAAACTTCTTGTAACCTTAAGCCACCCAGAAAATTGTTGAAAAGACACTGAAAAGATCTCGTATTGATCATTTGTCAATATACTGTATACAGCACAGGGTAGTCTCATTTATTCCTGTAGCCACTGAGATGCTTCCATAGAGCCGCGCTTTCGGTGTTGGAGTGACTTTACTGTGTACAATGGTACTTAACATACTGTATGTTGCAAATGTTCAGTCTCTTTAAATGATTAAGAATTTATAAATTTACATCTGCTAGCACCAAACACATATTTCAGCTGCGTGTCAGCCTGGCAAACCATAACCCGAACTTAAAATAATTTTTCCATGCCTGTGTTATCTGAGGAATGCTCTACATTTAGACTCACTGAGATAATGGGCAGGAGCGCTGTTGTGTCTGCAGAGAAATGTTTGTCCTCCCAGTTTAGTGGTTTATGTATTTTGTGACCAAATTACCAGGTTCTCATTAGACTTGGGCTGTAAAATACTTGTGATCTTACATTACTTTAGTCTATATTGTGTTAGGTTTGACCTAATTTAACACGTTTGATGATCCAGTCATCTTAATAATATGATCCCGCACTGTACATGTGGTCACGTTTTCAGATGTTATTGTTACCTCAAAGTACCAGGAATTATCATAATTTAAGCCTTAAAGGTAAGAACTATCTGTGCCAGACATATTCAGTCAGCATCTGCACATCTGCTGTTCCACCGTGTCCTGTGCCACAACCTATTTCTGCCTTCCTGTAATTACTGTTGAAACTGATTTTACTCTACTTTTGGAACAGTTTAAATGACTTTTGACGGGAAATCTGGCAAATTGCTCTAATACAAATCTTGTGTCTGATGCATGATTACATTACTGGATGAGTCGAGCATGAATCCTGACATGTTTATTCACTGGGGATGCTTGAAAAATGACTAGACACTAAAAATATAAAGAAATAAGTAAGTATACAAGCGTATTATATAACTTCAAGGATGGTTGTAAGTAGAATAGAGTAAAAGTAGCTTTAGTTTAGAAGCAAACCCAAGCTGACTCACCAAACATTCCAGCAGTAGCAGTTCACAACATATGTGATGTGCTGCCCTGTGTGGGTCTCTGTCCAAGTACAAGGCCCCACTTTCACCAGTTTAGTGTGTGTGTGGGATGGGCATGTAAGGGTCGTGGCTCTGCACAGCCTGTTTCCAGCTTGTTCCCACTCAACAGTGCCCATCCTGCTCTCCTCTCCTCTCCACACAACAGCTCGGTGGTCTCCTCCTGTGAATCCAGCCTCCAGCTCAATGACAGGACACGAGCAGCACGGCACCGTCGAGTCGTAGATGCAGGGCATGTCCAGTGTGTATAAAAGTCAAAGGCCAGGGGCAACTTTCTTCAGTCTGTGTGAGACAGGACAACAGCAAGAGAAGAAGCATTTTGTACTTAATCACTGGCAGTTTTGAAATAAAGCCAAACCATAAAGAGCCAGTTACCCAATGAGGCTGTCCTGAAAGAACAAGGATATTAAACTTGGAGTACAAAGCCTGACTTACTCTGCTGTGAACTCCATTACACTGATTCACCATGGTTTTAACTTCTCAAAATGGTGAGTGGCTTTGCTTGTTCCTGCTGTTTCTCCTCAGAGTTCTTTTGCTTTTGTTAAGTAGAAAGTCATTTCTATTGGCACAGCATTCTGTTTTCTGCAGAGCAGCTTTTGTATCCATTTGGTGGTTTTACCCAGAGTCAGAGGCATTCTGCTTCACCACAGAATATTATTTAAAAAAAGACTGGAAATGCATTTTTTAGCAGTGATTATGCAGTGATGGAGAGCACAGACACTGAGGTCAGTGAGCAAGACATTACCCTTCACATGTGTTCATTTTATTTGTGAGAAAAAAACAAGTAAAATAGCATTAAAAATCACAAATGGGGTGTTTAATCCATGCATCCATCCATTATCTACGCTGCTTATTCCTGAACAGGGACACGGGGGGCTGCAGCCAATCTCAGCTGACACGAGGCGAGAGGCGGGGTCCACCCTGGTCAGGTCACCAGTCTATCACAGGGCTGACATGTGACAAACAACCACACACACTCACACCTCTGTGAAAGCTCTAATGTATGGCTTCATGATACCCAAAAGCCTAAAAAATCAAGCAAAACAGGAGCAATCATGTCGGCTGAACACCACTGTTTAGTGTAATTGAACTAAGTTTTAAAGAATTTGGTGTTATATTGTTATTCCACAATGTTGTGAATCTTCACTCAACCATCTACTGTACGTTTACTTACAACCTTAATGAGTTGTCTGATGACAGGAACAAGTTGTTAACATTTCCTGCCGTTACCCTCCAGCCAATACGACCCAAATGTGGTATTATTGTGTCATGCAGAGGACATTTAACTGGCAGCATGTCTTCGGCTTGTGGGAAATAGTGTTCATCAAAAGTAGAAATACAATATAAACAATGATATAATATATTTTTTATGCCACCATCCCCTGTGCAAAGAAAACACAGTTTTTATGATTGAAAGTCTGGGCACTTTTGAAGAGTAAGTCTTTACACACCGGCTCGTTGAGCTACACAGTCAGAATATATAAAAGCTACTAAGCTCAGATGCAAAATAATCAAGATGAATCTTGCTGGTGTGACAGTAACTCGGAGCAGGCATTATTTGAAACATCACTTGGAGAACTGCAAGTGACAGCAACATGACATCAACGTTTAAATCCCCCTCTACACACATGCAAAGCATAAATGCAGCGCCGCAGTAAATCTGGATCACACACCCTAGTGATTTCCCTTACACACACAAGTCACTGAGTGGTTGTTATTTTACCCGCCATGTGACATGAGGCCGAGACAGAGGTGTCCTTTGTTTGGCCTACCTACAACCGACCACCTTCTCCACAGCAACTCAATGGGGAAACCCACAGGGCCGCTCAGGTTTCCGCTGGGACATGAAACGAAAGGTCCGCCCCAGCCAGAGAATTAGCCAGGACCCAGTTAAAGCTGAACATCTGCTCAGGAAACTCATATTTCTGTAGCGCTTGCAACCTTACAGCCCTTGTGGATGTTTAGTCTCGTTTAAAGGTACAGCTTTAGCTCTTAATTATTACATTACATAAAAAAGAGGAGAAAGAAGAACACTGTCCATAGTCCTTCAGGATGCCGTGAAACAACAGTGTCAGTGTTCTGTAAACGTTTCACTGAAAACCTTTCACTTTTCTCTCTCATGCATCGTTTGCAGTTGGTGGCCAGAATGACAGAGCTCACTTCCAGGGCAATGGTCCTTAACACAGCACTTTGTGGCACACTCTAAGTGCTCAGGACTAAATTGCTTGATAGGACACCTCATCTCCATTTGTATGGTAATCTACAGAAGAGCGCTGTAATGGCATCTGCTGGATCTGTGTCTCATTGGCTGTGACCCTGTGGTCAATTATAGGGACAATATCTACAACAACATCTACACCTCTACTGTAATAAGAGGTGCAATTATATCAGCACTTGTTTGATGGTTTTCTGTCCCTCTCCATTCTAACTGTGCTGAGTGTGATGGATGTGGGTTCTTACTGTCAGTCTTCCAGACTTCGATGGTCCTGGCACAGTATTGCTATAATTTCTTATTTTGCTGTGACGCTTTCTCTGAAAATGGCCCTGGAGGAGCCATGCCAAGACTGCGGTTAAAAGACCTCCTCCTCTCTCAGTTTCTCTCTTTCTCTGCATTTTCTTCCTGCTCCTCGTTTTCTTTTAGCATCTGCTTTAGGAGTCTATGTATCTTCATCCATTTATCCGTCTGGGTATCGCTGAATCACAAAACTCCTTTTTTTTCCTCAGCCATCATCAAATAGTTCCCTTATTGCTCATACAGTACTTACATATCCTAAGGAACTCTGGAACAATCGAACCAGTGAGTATAACAGACTTGGTGACTGCATTTATGAGCTGCTGTGCCTGATCCACTGCATCCTCAAACTCTACAGAATGGACTGGTTCTTGTGTGATCATGGCACAGAGACTTGAACACTGCGGCAGCGAAAAAACGGGCCAGCATGGAATCAAACGAGTGACAACCGATATGCATTTCCTCTTGTATCAATTGCTTTATTGTGAGTGTTCCTGTTTACACCTATCATTCCCAGTGTTTAATAAAAAGCAGATAAACCTGCTTTGTGTGCGCATGAGAGAGCGACTACCTGCTAATTATTCTTCGCAGTAAACATAACATTTGTAACCACACCACTGCAGAATATCATTAACTAAAAGTATTAGCATGTGGTACTGGCAGGAGGGGACTGTGGCTTCTCCAGATTGAAAACTGACTAATCTAAATGGGATACATCAATAAAATGGTCGAATAAAGTTGCGGGCACTTAAAAGCGTCGGCCCCTTTCGCTCAGACTCAAAGTGGGGAGGAGAGAGTTGCGGGCACTTAAAAGCGTCGGCCCCTTTCGCTCAGACTCAAAGTGGGGAGGAGAGCCACTGGCTGGCAGCCAGCCAGCAAATTAGAAGATAAGAAATATTCTTCCACTGGCACACCAGTGGCTTGCAGCTATTTAAAACAGAGGTTTATTGATAATTGAATTACTTGTAGAAAAAAAGACATGACAAGAATAGAATGCTTGGATGCAAATCAATAAGGAGATACTGTAATGAATAACACTGCAGTGGTGCAACACAACCAGGAGGATGTGGAGTGTGTGTGTGTGTGATACTCTGTTCATAGTGTGTGTGCTGACTTGTCCAGTCTGAGATGATCAGTGAAACAGCAAAATAGCTTAATAAAGGAAGACACCATCATGTTCATGTTCTACATTTTTTGTGTTTATGTCGCCTGCCTTGTGTTTCAGGTGTTGAGCTGAAGTAAATTGGCCTCTGACAGGATGGCAACGCCACAGAGCAGCTCACTCTCTTCATCTCCAATGAGGCAAGTAGAAGCAGAGTCTGGCCACTGTTGGTCTGCACCTCACGATTGTGGTGAGATGTCAAGCACAATCTGCGCACATGCACACAGTCCTGAGAAGAACTCAGCTCTGTCAGAATAAACAAAAATACCTTTGGAGATGCATTGTGGCTGTAAAGGAACTTAAATGAACGAATGAGCAAATAGTTACTGTGGATAATCCACAGACCTTGCAGTTAACAGTCAATGAAATTAGTTTTTTGATTAATAAATAGTTAAAATTCTTCCATTCACTTGGTTTATTATTATTTGAAGCTTGATATCATACTCCATGTTCAGAGCACTTTTCCATGTCCCGCAAGACACACCCACGTCACATGTACGTAAAACACATCACACCCAAACAACACTGTGACAATAACAGCCATGGCAGCAAGCTATCACCCTCCTGTTTCGACCTCCTACACACAGCGTACTCTGGCCCCTGTCTCCTTCTGATAATGTACTGTAATGGTGGTGATGGTGTGAGAGCAGCTGGTTTCATGGCAGCTCTCACCGGAGCAGAGATTGAGGTTTACAGCGGTGACAGAGTCTAGTTGTGCCATTCGTTGTCATCAGTGGTGGTTTGTGAGGAGAGGAATGTATCATAGACATGTCTGGCTGTGACTGTTTGGTTTTCAGTGATGCATGAGTTGGCAGATGTGGACACAAATACACTGAAATACACCGACTTAGTTGGACACATTTATGTGAAAAAAGTAGGAATTATTAAGAAATCTACAATGAGTGTAGAAGCAGAACTACCCTCAGTCCTTTGTTTTGAGTGGTGCTGAGCTGATTATTTCACCTGCCAATGCAGTACAACTACAAATGATAGTCCCCTGTACTGTTCTTGCAGAGTTGAATTCACTGATTGCATCAGTGTGCACGGGCGTGGTGCTGGTTTGTGCCCAGTGGGTGTGGTTTTAACTCTATTTCACTTCGGCATGTAAAACGTCATGTGCCATTGTGCCCGCCTGAATCGACGGCTGATGTGGTAAGTCAACAAAACAACATGTGGTCTGAGAGAATGGTAAACAGTGCAGGCCTGTAAACATAGCTTATTTACATAGTTTGGCAACACTGAATTCAAATGTGCCAACACTTGCAATTTGTGGTCAGGCTACTACCATCACTTCACTCTAATTGCGGGGGTGGTGGGGCAGGGCAGTGGTTAGTGCTGTCACCTCACAACAAGAAGTTTCCAGCTGACCCGGGGTCTTTCTGTGTGGAGTCTGCATGTTCTCCCTGTGCCTGCGTGGGTTCTCTCCAGGTATTCCGGCTTCCTCCCACAGTCCAAAGACATGCAGCTTAGGTTGACTAGCGACTCTAAATCCTCCTTCGGAGTGAATGTGTGTGTGTGCTTGTCTGTCGATGTGTCAGCCCTGTGACAGACTGGTGATCCATCCAAGGTGGACCCTGCCTCTCACCCAGTGTCAGCTGGTATAGATAATGGATGGATGGATGTTTGCCAGTGAATGAAGATCAGTATCATATCAGCTACCCAGTGTGTGGTTTGTTGAGGTTGAGGCAGTTTTCACTGAGGCTGCTGAGAATAATCACATCTCACCTCCTTCATATCTGCCTTGGGAGATGTTTACCAGCTGATTAGAGCTGTTGGCTCAACATCACCAAACCAATAAATCGATCTTAGTAAGGATCCTAGGTCAACAAATTAGAGGCAGTCAATAGCAGGAGGTGCAAAGGTCAGAACGTTAGTGATAATGCATGCACAAACATATCCTCCCACTTCTTCTCATGCACACACATGGCCTGGGTCATCTATTTAGATTCCACATGTGAGCTGCATATCAGCATATAAAAGCCAAACATTGAGACCAAAATACCTTGAAATATCTGTCAGACAGATGTGCTTAAGATGTAAAAAAGAGGCACAGCAAACAATCAGAAACTGAAGCAAAAACAGAGCAGTGCTGCATCCAGATTGTCAAGCAGTCACGAAAAGCTTAACTGGACTCTTTGCCTGGTTGAACCATCAATTAAACTGCTGTTTTCACAAGCTAGTCTTCAAACGTAACATCAGTAACTGTCAATATTTTTATTTTCTCATGTGTTAGTTACTTGGGGCTAAAGAAAACTCATCCAAAATCCACTGTGTGTTTCTGAGCCATCATGGCTATCAGTCTTTGGCCATCAATCTCCTGACTTTCAGAAACATCTCTTTTTAGAGATACACAAGACGAAAGTCTTATCACGCAACAGTGATTTATGTTGTTTCTCTTTTTATGAATCTCAGCAAAGAATACAAGTGCCAAATGCTGATTTCTCTTTCTAATGGGAAAAGACTTCATCAGTTGCTATGGCTGAGAAACCCTCAGTAACTGCTAATGAATTTGAATATATATCTTCTGATAGATTTGTGTTTACAAATGCTTGCACAGCATCAAACCTCGGGTTACAAATCTGGCAGTAGCTGATGAGTGACCCAGGTTTCTTTACCGTCATTTGTCTGTGCATGTGCCTCTTTATGTTGCAGCTTTTCACTTGCAACTCCTGTTGGAAAAGATGTGTGAATTTGCTGATGTGAGGGGAAAAAAGCATGAAACTGAGAGAAAAGGAGGGGGGAAACTAAAGAGAGAGAGTCAGCTGGAAATGATTTGAGATAGATTAAAAAAGACAGTGAGAAGAGAGAATCCATAGTCTGCACGTATGCCTGCAATAACTATATTTTTATTCACGTTACCAGGTGTGTGTTAGGGTAGGAGTGTGAGTCTGAAGGAAAGAGAACAAACATCAGAGAGAATTAAGGTAGTGTTGCATAAACTGAGACAGAGGCTGAGAATAGACTCCAAGTGGACTGTTTTAGGTGAGTCTGTTCTTGGCTGTGCATAAGAGGCCGTCTGAAACATCTGGGAGTCAGATGTCTTCTCCTGTTGCCAGAACTAAATTGTACCAGTCAGGGACCGTAGTATCCCTTACCATGCACTGTTTTGGGGGGAGCTCAGACTTGACCTTTGCCCAGAAGATCAAGGTGTAACTTGCACATTAAAAGTACCGTCAGCCATAAGCTTTTACCATTTTCTTAGCTCATCTGTACCTTAACACAGTGAGGCAGCATTATGTAAAGAAACTGCCTAAAAGTAGAGTTTGAAGAGAGCTCTCTTTAGCACTATTCAGATTTTTGAGCAGAAGAGAAATTCTTTTTAGTATATATGCCTCCATATTTAATTCTTTTCTGGGACAAAAGCTTCCTTGTTTCCTTTTCCAGTTGAAGCCAAAGCCACAATGGTCTGGTCTTCAAACTCTCGCAGCTCATTCTGCCCACATTTCCATTCACTCGGCCCCTCTGCACTGTGGTTTTGTTGTGGTATTGAAGAACAATTTCCATTTGTTCATACTGTATGTGAGATCAGGCATCAGACTGATATTCATGCAAACCAGGCAATGGACGACTGCAAAGGGCTCCTTCCTGCTTATATGGTGCTCAGTTGCTTCCATATCTTAGATCTGAATATGCAGTCAGATGCCAAACAGAAATAACAACATGAACTAACACATGTTGCAGTGTTTCTTTTCCAAACAAGCTGCTCGGCCTGCCAGTGGCTCTGCATGCAGTCTGTGGACAATTCCAGATGTTTTAAACCATTTGGTGTGGGGCTTTTTTCCACTCCTCACTGTACCATGAGTGCATAAAATTGTAACATGGGTAGTTACATAGAGAAACAAACCACAGAGCCTCCTTGGAGGCGGAGTCTTTTATCCAATTAAAAGGTTCATTAAAAGCAGCAACAAAAATAACACACCATGTTCTAGTGTGTCTAACATTAAAAAGTGGCTAAAAATAGATAATAAGTAGATTTTTGCAAGAAAAATAAGTTTGCTGGGGCCAAAGTTTTAATAAGAATAAACATCAAAGTAAATTTTAGGAGCAGCACGATACAAAGTAAGGCAAAGATGTGAAAATAACCGCTAAGTTTTGGGATTAGTTTAAGTCTTAGCTGTGGCATAAACACAGTAGATACACAACCTCAATCTCTCCACATGTATGTTGCTAGCTGGCCAACAGAAGGCTAACTCTAGCTAATGTTTGTAGTACATTGGACAAAGTCCAGCTGTCAAATTTACACACATGAAACAGGTGATGCTCATGTTGTGTGAAGATTCGTACATAGTACCTGAATCATTTGAAGCCTAGTAATAGGCAACCACCTCTGAAGAACAAATTAGTTCCTGCTGTCCAATAACTGCCATACTTGAGCGACAACAGGTGCTATTCTCTGGCCCCTAACTCTGCCCTAACCTGTAACAACTTCAAACCTAACTCCAGCCCCTACCCTACCATGACCTTAGCCTTAACTCAAGTGTAACCTTAACCCTACAAATACGGATGAAATACAAGATCACACATACACACTAAGACTCACAAACATCTCCTTCATAAACCTGGTGTTTGCTCAGGGATATGGAGCTCAACAGCCTCTCAGTGACTCATCCTGAAGAACAGCTCAGCTTGCCTCAAAGTGAATCATCTAAAAGCTCAAATTATCATTTTCACCTAAAGTATAACAGGAATAGCGAGCTCACTCTGACGCTAGCTCAGTGTATCAACCTGATAGCTGACATAAATCTGCACAGGATTCAACCATTTTTGATACCAATCAGTCAGATTTCTGCATATCCCTGTTTTATATGAAATTTGTTATTTTACATGTTTCTTTTACCTTCTTATGTTCAGGGGTTTTTGGAGACTGTCCTCCTTTAACATAAAATAGTATGCTTCAGTTGTGCCACCAAACTCTTACATGTTATAGTTTGGTGGCTTCTAGCGACTGTTATAGTTTGGAGCATTTGTCTTTTTGTCTTACGTTTGTTATATACCATGTTTACCCACTACACCACCGAGTTCATATTGATTTTATTTTATTTTTTATGTAATTACTTTTCAGAAAAAATGATGCAACCCTGTATTTAAGTGGTAAGGATGGTGATATTCTGGATTCTGTCAACAAATCCCAACCATGTGTTACTTCATCTCTTAGTACTTCCTTCTCCTTTATGTGACACTCAAGTTCTTGTGCACCATAAAGTTTGATCGACAGCTGTATGGGATCAAAAAGTTACTGTGAAAGAACCACAGATTACTACACAAATCTATTGATTACAAATTGGTTTCTGATATGATTGGCTTGGCATGACAATTCAGCATAATTCAGGTGAGCAATACAGATAATTTCAATTCATTTTTGTTCAATTAAACTAATCTAAATCACTCTTCATAATGCAATATCAAACACAGTCTGTTACAAAAGGCATGTTTAAACCTTGCTGTAGGTTTTTTGTTTTTTAAATACTAGGATATCTCCGCTTAACCGAGTCCTTTCTCTTTTGCTGCCACCACCCCTCGGTTTACTGCCAGCCACCAGCAGATGGATAGAAAAGGACAGATGCTTTATCCCCATAGGTTCCCCGTCTGGGATAATAGAGCTGCTGTCGCCTGACCCTCTCATGGCCCTGCATGTAAATATTTGTCACTCCCTGTGAGCTGAAGTGAACCAGTTCCCGTCCTTTGGAAAACAAACACATTATTATCATTGTTTTTTTTTTCATGGCAGTGAGGGAAACATTTTGTGGCTTGTTGGGCGTATAAATCAAGATGGGTTCATCCCCCTGTGATGTTGTTATATAACTGGATAATGGTTTGAAATGGCCACACTGGGACTGATATAAAGAGAATTCTGCATATTGCTGCACATTTTTAGCTCTAAAATTGATTTGATTGTTTGGTTTGTGGCGGCATGGTGGAGTAGTGGTTTGTGCTGTCACCTCACAACGAGAAGGTTCTGGGTTCAAGCTCTAGCCGACCCGGGGGCTTTCTATATGGAGTTTGCATATTCTCCCTGTGCCTGTGTGGGTTCTCTCCAGGTGCTCCGGCTTCCTCCCACAGTCCAAAGACAGGTTGACTAGTGACTCTAAATTGCCCAAAGGAGTGAGTGTGTGTGGTTGTCTGTCTCTAAGTGTTAGACTGGTGAACTGTCCAGGGTGGATTAGCTCCATGACCCTCGTCAGGATAAGCGGGATGAATGGATGTGTATTCAGTTTTACTTTTATGCAGTTAGGAATACATGAAATAAATATAACAGATATTTATGATAACCACATTTTGGGCATTTACTCTGTTTCTCAGTCGTCCAGTTTTTTTTTTGCTCTTCAACAAAAAAAGTCAGTATCTTAACTGGGTGATATACTGTATAACGGAAAATAATCTCAATTAAGAAATGAGAGCTCTTTCAATCTCCTCTTCAGTTGTGACAGTGATCAAGCACTCTGGGGCTAATTTGACTCACTTAGCTTGAGTCACTGCATTATTCACCTATGACTAATCTCTAACAAAAGACATTTTCGGAGCTGGAGTGGTTTTTAAAGAGGTTTTGAAAAAACAAGCAGGGATCAGCAGTATTTAATTTGCAAGGAACAGGAGAGATTAATTTTTTTAATCGCCTAGAGTTAAACTAATCCTCATATCTCATCCATTTTCAGAAGTCACAATGATCACTATGAAGCTATTTACCCCACTTAGCAGAACAAGCTCCATAGGCATGATTACCACACCCTGTAACACTGTGCACTCATTTATTCTAGTCTACATTTTCAGCTAATTACCTCTTCATCCTCTTTCCAAATTGAGGGAGATTTATTTGCCAAAAAGAGAGTTGAGTGAGCTTCTGCACTCTGCAGCGTGCAGATGTGACTACTTCTACATTTTATTCCACCCCCTCAGCTGACAGACAACTGACTGGATAGACTTCATAGTATTTCTAAATTTAGTGAGCTGTCTGTTTCTGAAGATAAAGTGTTAAAGTTGTTCATTTGAGGTTAACTTGAGATGCAAAAGTGAAAAAGTAGATGCGTCATAAATGTATATTTCTCCTGGTGATTTTTATTTGGGCGGCATAGTGACACAGTGGTTAGTGCTGTCACCTCACAGCAAGAAAATTTTGGGTTTGAGCCCCAGCTGACCCGATGCCTTTCTGCGCAGAGTTGCATGTTCTCCCTGTGTGGGTTCTCTCCAGGTGCTCCAGCCTCCTCCCACAGTCCAAAGACATGCAGCTTAGGTTAACTGGTGACTCTAAATTTCCCCTAGGAGTGAGTGTGGTTGTTTGTCTACATGTCAGACTATCCCAGCACAGAAAGGCACTGGGCCTGCTCAGGCTTGAACCCTGAACCTTCTTGCTGTGATGTGACACCACTAACCACCACGACACTGTGCCAATCACTCCAACACTCATTTTTTAGTAAACAGCTTTGATAGTAGATTTGATATAAGTGGTGTCGTGGTCTCTTTATATTTCAGTCCCATTTAACCTGCTGCTCTGGCCAGTAGCTGAAACTCAATACCTGGCTTGAAGAAGTGACATAATGACATTTTCTGTCTTGACATTGATTGTACACATAATGCTTCTCTTAGACCAGATCAACCATTGTTCAATACAAATATAATATCCCAGTGCATCCAGTGAGCTACCATCTCTCACAAACTGCAGACAATGCCCATACAGCTAAGCTCCATTAGAGACCTTTGTTGACTCAATGCAGAGTTGGCCGGTGTAGCCATCAACCAAACACCTTTCAGGGAGCCTTGACTCACTGGGTGCAGGACTCTGGATAGCTCCCTTAAGCCTGCGTTCATGAGGGTCAGCACTGGGGGAGATTGAAGTGGGGAGGATTGTTTATTGCAGCCTGTTGTAAAAGCTGTCTCTGTGCTGAAGGGAAGTGATGGGTTAAGCTAATAAGTGTGGAAACCAGCAGTTTTTGATGCATAATTGACTTGGTGTGACAGCAAATCTCACTCAGATTAAGAATTATGTTTTCAAGGATATATTTCCCATTTACATCTCAAAATTCTTATAGACTTCTCAATAATAAAATTTTTAGTTTTTACCTTCACAAAACAATCAGTAAAACGTCCCCAAATTTAGTACAAGTGAGGACACGGATGCTAAAATGACCTTAAACTCTATTAGAAGGATTGGTACCAGCTGTGTCAGGCCTAAACCATTCTTTTTTTCCTCTAACAATAATACATATACCAAACATACAAACATAATGCTAACTCCTGGCCTTGGAAGTAACACTAGGTCACCAGTGTAGACCACTAGTTAGCCAGACATGCTAACATTAGTGGTTTTTAGAAAACTAATTAAACAAAAGATACCAGCTTGCAAAAGGAAGAAAATCATTTCTCTTTGTGACTGGTAGGCGATGACTGGACAATTAATTGATGTTTGGAGGATGGAGTTAAGGGAATTTATGACAGACACAGTTAGTTATAAAAGAGGTTTTGCTTTACCATCCCAAGCCTATGCTTAATACAGTATAAAGACAGGGCATGAATGATACAGCCTAGTTAAATGACTTGTTATTGTCCAAACAAGCTTGAAATTATGAGTAATGATTTCCTTAATTATCTGCTGATTGAGTGTGTTATTTCTTGTGGCCGAGGTAAAGATGATTAAGAGTCTGTCATATAAATCAGCTCAAGCTACAGTCAGCGTGCCAGCCAGCACAAATAATGTCCCGCATCTCAATCAACACTGTTCTCAATATATAGTACATTATGTGTGTAATACCCAGGACATATGTTGCATGAATGTGGTTCTGTGCAGTAATTTGCACTTCTAATTTTACTATGCAATCGTTGCGAAACCAAACACAAAGCAGTTTGTATCGATTTCTTCTGAGCAAATCAAACCAGTAACAGGAAACTGAATGTTCTCTGCATGTGCCGATCAATAGTGGTGAATGAACTCTGGTCTGTGCTACATCAGCTCAGCTTGTTTTTAATGTGTGGCACCCCACATAAACAGTACACCCAAAAATCCATTTATCTTTGGTTAAAACTGCGTTCATCGTTGAAAACATGCAAATACGTACATGAGGGAAACCACAAATGACTTGTTCTTTGTAGCAGTTTGTTTCGATTTGTTGACTCGTTCTGCAAGCGCTTAATAAATTCAGTGAACAAACTCTTTTGTTTTTTCTATTTTTGGTTCAGTTGCACAGAGAACAGGCTTGTGACAACTGTGACACTGTGCCATCTCTAAACTGAATAAGCTGACTCTGACTGTATTTTTTCTGGCTTCATTTTTCCCACAGCACCTGGATGCAGTCTCTTCAGGTTGACTCAGTGCAGCGCTGGATGGAGGATCTTCGCCACATGACGGAGGTGGAGTGCATGTGTGTCCTCCAGGCCAAACCAATCGGGGTGGAGGAAGAATCCCAGCAGGGAGAACTGATTATGGCATCTGGGGTCGGTGGTGGGGCGCACGTGGCTAGGAACAACCTGCAGACACTCCTCCGCCGAGCACTGGTGGTCAGCACGGGCGCTGGCAGAGGGTCCACAGCACAGCCGTAAGGGCAAACTGCCATGTTCGCTCACTGGTCCATGAATACAGTGTCGCCCGCAACACGCCACCAGAGATGCAGAAGGTGATGGCTGATCAGGCACTGACACTTCCTCATATACCAATTAAAATATAATATGGACATTTTCCTGCTGCTATATAAAAAGCATGGATTTAGAATTACATCATTTACATTTTGCTTAGACTTATCAGTCTAATAACGGGACATCCAAAAGCCCTCATGCACCTCTGTCACTTAAATTGGTCTGTGCCCATTATACACAAAAAAATAATTTGATAATTTTCTCTTACGGTACACTGTTGGCTTTCTCCAAGACCTCAGCACCTCACAAACCTCATTGTATCAGTCATCAGAGACAAATAGGTATCATCAATTACCAAATAAAGAAATTGATAATCTGTATTTAAGTGGAATGAAAACCATGTTCTGCTGTTTTATAAAAACAATGTGGCACACACTTACAGTACATACATCCACACATGGAAGCTGCCCAGTACGACCACAGTCTGACCTGTGGGCCACTGCAGCTCTACTGGAACTGCTTATCACTGCTAATTATATTTCCTCCTTTTCTTTCATGGCAGTATGAGAAATCTCTGCTGGAAAAGTGTATGGAGCTGACAAATATTACAGAGAGGTAACAGTCCATAAAGCAAATATAAAAACACTAGTAAAAAGTGTATTTATGTGGAACTCACTGGTAAATGTCTCATCACACATGGCCCACAGATGTCTTCATACTGATGATGAATTCTTCCTGAAATCCATGAGGGAGGCCATCCACGAGATCCTCACAGATGTCAGTGATTCCTTCAGCAACATGATTGACATGGCCTTAGCCAATGAGATCCAGGTACATTTTGAAACTGAGCTGAAATTGGAAACATATGTTTCTTTAATATTTATATTGGAGTCGCTGCTTGCCCTGAATTTCTTCGTGTCACATGAAGGCAAGTTAAGGCCACTTACTGCAAAAGACAACTTTAGAATTGTGTGCTCCAGTGCATTTCACAAACACTTTGACGTGCACCACAAATGACTCTAACCTATGGTGTTCCAAAATGAACAGTTCTACTTTCATCACTAGGTTTATATTTTCAAAACAAGTTGGAACACTGCGGTTTGTGCTCCATTCACACCTGCTGTCTAAGCTGCAAAGGAGAAACAATGTGGAAGTGGAGAGTGAGGATGTTTTTGTTGGTTCTGGATTCTTTGATGTACTATTGAAGGGTTTGTGTTTGTTTTTGGGGTCAGGTTAGAATTAGGTCTGTGTTTTTGTGTGTTACTGGATCAACTGAGTCAGTGTTCATTCAGCGATAAACAGTCAAACAGAAATATAAGAATGGGTTGCACTAATTGAGAATTACATCGTCTCTGTATGACCTGAAAAATTAAAGAGATATTTTTTATTTTACTCTAATAAATCCATGATTGCATTCACACAGATGATGGATAATTGCATTTCATGTCTGAGACATTATACAGGGAGTTAGTGGCTGCAGGAGAAGTTTTTATTTATATGTTTTCATGTGATTATAACTATTTATAGGTGTAATGATTTATCTTTGGACCATATTTAAATTTGTGGTATAAGAGCACATTCCAGAGGAAGTTGGCCACAGTTACTATCAGTAGATCTCAAAGCTGAGCATAAAAACAGACATTGATGAAACTGGGGAATGCTCAGCAAATAAACACAAACACTTATCTAGGAAATGTGCTGATCCTCTGGGCCCAATCAAACAGCAGGGAAGAAAAATTCAAATTGTCTAAATTATTTTTCCTGATGGGATGAAGCACAGCAATACAGAGATTTTCAAATGTTCTTTATTTTTTTAATGTAAAAACTTTGAAAGTTTCTGACCAGCGCTTCCTGTGGTAGTGTCAATAAACAACAACGGAGACACTAAAGAATAGCACTGTCTTCATGTGTCTGACACAAAGATACTGAGATGAATGGGTTGCTAGCAAAAGACGTTTATCTTTCTGCATGCACAAACGATGATTTCAAAGATGGTATGATAGCTTTAAACCCCCTTAAAAATGACTTTAATTAACCTCAAAGTTGTTCAAAATCAGCTGGCTTATTCTTCTTGCAGGTCCTGATCAAACAGATTGAATCATCGGACAGCATTCACACAATCGGCAGCGCCATTAGCAACCTCCTGTCCCTGACACAGGATGGACCTCAGCTCTGCAGCATCATTGCCAAGGTACTGTGGATATACTAGTGGACTCTGCCCTATCTTGGCCCTGTGCTGACAATGACTACGTCGATGTGGTCACATAGATTTGATTTGGCTGGAGAATAATTTCAAGACCAGCTACACCCATTAAAATATATTGGTCTGAGATAAACCTGTCTCCACTGATGCATTTGATTACACAATAATTTGTCATGTTGGAGATGCTGACGTCAGTGACAAGCCAACAGCATGTATTATATTCCTGGGTTTACATGTTGCACACAGACCTCCCACCCGGTCTTTGCCACAGGCAGCTGTATTTGATAGTGCGTCTCCGCCCCTTTGCTAGACACACCCCTGTTATGTTCAGTTCCACCCTAGGCCAATGTTCATCATCCACAGCAGCCGACCTGCAGCTATCTTTTTATACATACCCCTAAAACGCTATTTCACTGTGAGATAGGACAAGCCAGACCAGACAGCAAGTCTCAGTTGGCCATTAGTTAGCCGGATACCTTTGATAAGACTCTTCCTGATGGCCTCCACAAACACAGAGTAACACACACACACCTCTTTGCTCGCAGATTGTCAGATCAATCCTGTCAGCTTCCATTAGAAGTAAACATTGATTACAAATGCAGGTTGCTCAGCTGCCTGTACCATTCAAACACTCCAGCTTCTTAACTCCCTCTGCAGCGATGCTGGTTGACCCCTCAGAGAGGTGTCTGAGCGAAGTGGCTGCAAATAAATACCCAATACAAAACTCTGTCCACCTTCCATTTGAATTAATTAGCTTCCACCAATCACATTCTCACATACACAGCCTTTGCTGTCATGCATGTCATCTGGCTCACATCCGAGCCCTTCACTCATTATCATTTTCTGCAGCCTGCTAACTTTTCTGTAGTACTTCTTTTGGAGAACAATTAGCCATTTAAATGCTTGGGCAGAAATCTGCTATTTCCACCTTCTTCCTCTCTTTACCAGTGCTGATGTTGACAGTGTTTAGTGAGTGATACACTGAGTATGAAGAGGAGAAGGAAGGCAGGATAAATGTATGGCAGTGAAACAGGCAGCATGACAAACACAGATGATTCACTGTTTATATAAATCCAGACTGGGGTGAAATAGATTTGTACATTTTGGAGTTTATCATGTTGGTTTCATTCTTTTGGAAGAACCACATGTGTGGAGTTTAACAACATTATAGTATAATGGATACCAGACAGTTTAAGGCAGTGGCAGCTGCTTAGGGAAAATGAGAGCGCTGTGTGATAATTAGGTATTAAGTTGCAATTTACATCGATCTAGCTTGTGTGATGAGGATAGCATGTCCCTTTGGCTAAATTTACCTGTTGCTAATACATCAACATGCATGGCAGGGTTGTTTTAAAGTTCTCCCCTGGCTTTTGTAGGAAAATTCCAATGTAATCTGCAGTTTCATACTTGAAAATCTAAGTTCTGGATACTTAAAGCTACATGAATTTCATGTTGGGAGGAACAGGAACAAGCTGTAAGCAACAAACTGTAAATGCAAGTTTACACAAGTTTAAAAGACAGTTGTCACTTTACACATCCAGCAGATACAGAGCAACATGAGCATTCATGTGGAGATTTATTCATGTCTGTTTGAATGCAAGTCCAATATTCACTTTCATTTTATCTCCATTTTTGGAGAGGGAAATATCTGGCTCTTTAGCAGCTAAATGCTTCTCTGTTGCTTCTTTTTGACCAAGGCAGTTATAGGGCTGGTTCGGATCCAGAGCCTAATTTTGAACCTGCTCTTTGTGTTTTGACAGCCAAAGAACTGGCTCTGGGCCAGGAAAACTGGTCCTAACATGGCACCAACTCTCTGCTGGTCTAGAACTAAGAACCGCTTATGTCATGAGCTGTGGGTGGGATTATTGTGACCAGCAAGACCAACTAGACTCTGGCTGCCATTTTTTTAAAAACACAACAAGAGAGTACTGTAGTTTTGCCTAACTTTTAATACCAAAATAAAACCATGAGCCTCATTGGCATGAGACTGAAGCAGCAGTGGACTGTGGATGAGACAAACTGTTAGCTAGCTAAAGTTTAAAAGCCAGTAGCAACACTACAAAGGAGACACTGAAGTGTGCTGGGAAAGCACAGGCAGACATATACAGAGACATAATTACATGGCTCCGTGGTGGCTCTCTAGCCCATGGAAAAGCAAATCGGTTCTTAGGGCGTCTGCAAGTTAAACTCGCTGCAAACCTGCTCCACTGCCAGCACAGAACTAGTACTTAGTTTGTTTTGGTTGAAGTTCATCTGCCATTTGCTGCAAAATATGCACAGTGGGTTCAACTGTACCTTTTTTATACTAGTGAGAGCTGTGAGTCTGAAACATATTGGGGAAAACAATGGGCTAAAAGAATTGTGAGTAGCTGCAAAGTGGACTGATAATTCTCGGGGAGTTTGTCACCAAAAGCGAGTATTAAATATATTGATTATAGCAGCTATAAATAAACTGTGTAATACATTTGATTTGATTTGAACTAGTGAGTGAGGGAATCTACATAACATTTTCTTTCAAAGTAAATGTATATGATATGCTTTCAGTTTCATTCACTTGTTTCTGAGTTATTTCATTTGTTTGCATAAATTAAATTAACGTACTGTATGTGACAAAAATGAAAAGAGCAGCACAAATGACTGTTAAGTGTGCAAAATAGCATGAGATCTCTCGTCTCGTGTCTAATTATAACTTATACACTTGATTTCAAAACATATTCAGTGTTTTACTCTAATGTGCCTCATAAAGTAGTTAATGCCACTAAAGAATATGGCTCCTTTTTGTAAGTGACAGCTTGTCAGACTCTGAGTAATCACATCGCTGTGACAGATTTGTCACGACTGAATGAACTGCGCCCATCTGCTTTACCAAGCAGGTCAGAACAAATCATGCAAATTATTGTCGAATACCACCTATTTCCGCCTTTATCTGATGACCCACTCATAATAACAAAACAAACAAAATACATGCTACACATTTTTATCCCTATTTAAAAAGCCTTCCATTTTTGTCCCTTAATCCACCCAAAACAAGTCAAGTCTCTTCTCTTTCTTTTGGTTTTTGCTTGGATAAATCATTAACAGAAAAACATTTATATTTTTAGATCTTTAAAGTTTTTATTTTCCCCCAAACAAACACTGTGAGAAACAAGCAAACTCTACACAGAAAGGAGAAGAAAAGTCTTATATAAGCAAAGTGTTTAACTGGAAAACTAGACAGTTTGCTGTCTCACTGTTTCCCTACTGTCATGATGGCTACTGAATCAGATGCGTCCACGTTGGCAGGCTCCTCACACATTATGTGCACCCTGCACTGAACTGAAAGCTTTAGATTGCAGGGTGTGTGAGAGCATGACGTGGCAGTAACTCAGGCCTGGTGAGAGTCAACGTCCCATCAAAACACAAGGACAAGAATAAACTGTGTTTTTACAGCAAGAATTATGATTTAGCTTCAGACAATATCTTCCACCAGCCTTTTGTTCAACACTAATAACCACTGTTTGCAAATCAAGTAGCAAACTGCCTCTGACCTCTCACAGCTCAATGAACTGTGGGCTTTGTGTGAGCGAGAACAGCAAACCAGTGCACAATTCAGAAAACTATCAGATGGAAAGAAATTATACGCTGTGTAGGCCTTCACATGCAAACACACAGATAGAGAGGCATTTCAAGTTTCACATGATAATGTTAGCGTGGCAAGTACCAAAATAAATGAGTGCAAATGAATGTGCTCTGTGGGCTTTGTTTAAGGAATGAGAATGAAATCAGTGGAAACAGTAGAACTGCAAGTTGTTCTATGTGGAAGGGAAAGCAATGCCTGACATGCCCAACAGTCTGTGAAAAGGAAAAGCAGGAGAAAGGCTATACAAATATATCAGTCTCAGGCTCTTCTGCTGCAATGCATATAAATGTTCAGATATTTGAATGCACACATTGTTTATTCTCACTTCTATTGCTCTGTTTTTAATTTTTTGCACTTACTGTTATTTTCTATTCCTGTTGCTTTACAACGCATTGGGAGCCTCTGTACCAGAGTCACATTCCTGTATGTTCAAACATATTTGGCCATTAAAGTTCCAGAGTCAGTAAAATTTAGAACAATTAAACTTTTTAAAGTTTAAAAGTTTAAAGTCACAAAATATAACTAAATTAGAACTAAAGCTCAAAAGTGCATTAGACCGTTCAGAGATTCTCCACAGACTAAAGCAACATTTGTATCACAGACAAACAACAGGATCAACAGCATCCTCATCAGTACCTGATTCTGAGCCTCTCTGGAGTTTCAAAAGGTTTACTGAAAACTCCAGTGTTGGCAGTTCTTCCACATATAGCAGAACAATATTGTGTAGGTGATGAACAGGGTAGAGCGGTCAGGCTGGAGGGCAGGATGATTAGCCACTCCAAGCTGTGGCATCATGACCGTAGCAGCATATGAGACATGCCAGCTCAGTATAATGGCCTTATTAGGATAATGGTGGTCATTACAGGCTTTGTCTTCCTCCAGGTAATTCCATCTACCTGCACAGTGAATAGAATTCAATACCTGCAAGTGTTTGTTTTTTTTTTAGTCAGAGGGCTGCTTTAGTGTAGATTCACAGCCAATAGAGCAGCTATGTTTGTTTGTTTACATCAGGCATAATCCAGCAGAAAACACTCAGCTATTGTGGCCAGCAAACCATCTTTTTCCTGCTCACTGTTTCTCATTCACGAATTACGTATATTTTTGCTGTTTGTATCCGACGTGATGAACTGTGTGAGCCACTCGATAGGGTCTGCGGTTGGCAGGCTTGCTGAGTAAACCTGCCAAAATCTGTCGGTCATTTCAAGTCTCCTGGAATCTTTAAAACCAGCATGCTGCTATTAGATCTGCTGGACCTGTTGGCTCTCAACAGCATGATCTACAAGGAGCAATTTGATACATTATTTTGCACCATCATGTGTGCTTCAAGACAAGGGCTGATTATAATGTATGGTGCATAATTGGGTGGCATGAACCCTAATGTCAGGCCTTTGAAATTCTCAAAACAAGAGAGTTGTTTTCCCAGACTAACCACCTTTTTGCCCTACATTGATTTCAACATACAGAGAATTATTTGTACAGCATCCACTAGACAAATAAACAAAATAAAAATTTGATTGCATTTTATGGGAACCTCGTATTATGGTCTTGATTGGTAATGAAAAAAATTATTCCAAGCTGTGGCTATTAAACATTCTGTTAAATCCAGAATATGCACCTGTTCTTACAATAACATTTATACATATGATGACGTTTTTGGATAAGTAAAGTGTGGGTGTGGCAACAATGAGCCAGGCTGCATCAGGCTGAGGTAGCAGGCACAAAGTAAAGTCATACTACAAGCAGTATTGCAATAGATGGAGGAAAGCACAGCAACAAAAGTAAATTAATATGTGACATATGACCTCAGCCTCCGGCTAAATAGTGCTGTGTAATAGTCTCAGTGTTGCCAAGACAGGATTAGCACACACTTAACCCACTTGTCCTCAAGAAAAGTTAAGGCTTGCATTTCCTTATTTTGCTTATGTTAAAAGTAACTTTCTCAATTTTCACTGAAGAAAGTGTAAATGTTCATTAAACACCCATGTCTTCTGCCTTTTGCCAGAATTACCTGTTAGTCAATAAATTACATGTCAAGTTGCCTTTGCCAAGAAACAGAGTACAGTGGGGAAAAAATCAAGGTTGTAGGGTTTTAAATTCAGATCACTCCGTGCCGATGAGGGTGTTTTGGAATCTTAAACATGGACTCAAAAGAAAAAAGAAATAAAGAAGAATCCAGATACAACTGCTCATTAAGTTCCTGAATTTATTCCATAGAAAAGTGAGAAATTATTATTAATAGTAATATTAATAACAATAGAGACTTAATGCAGACAACATCACATACAGTAAGTCTTGAAAGAATTCAGAAAAGGTTATGAGTCGTTACTGTTCATGTGCTAAAACCATTTTAACCCATTTGCAAATTTATCAGTGCAGTGTCTCAAAGATAAAGTACTTTTTTATATACATTTATTTTATTGTCACATGAAAACATGTTTTTGCAGCTAGTGACCATACAAGGATTTACCAGCTTTATCACATGATCTGTTGTTGTGCCTGAACCTTTCCTGAGGCTTAAACATTATGGTTTCTCCTTCTTTTGTTCTTCCACAGGAAGGAGCTGTGGTGGCCCTGTTTAAGATCTGCAGGCAGGACCGCTTCAGAGACCTCTACGCTCACGCTCTGAGAACTGTGGCCTCCATCTGCTGTGTGGAGGAGGGCATCAACCAACTGGACAAGGTCAGTCTGTCTCTCGCACATGTACACCTTTGTCATCCTAGTCCTGTAAGGCTCTTCACTGATATAATGCATTCCTGAGCCACTTACCCTAACCTCAGCTATCACAACTAAAGGCCTAACTGCAGTTTACAGTGGGGAGAGAAATGGTACATGAGCACTAATCCACATTTCGTGTAATGGAACAAATGGGTATGAGAGACAAAGGGAAAGAATGTGAGACTGTGTTAATCTCAAGTAAGTAAATACAATACTTCCAGTAAAATACAGCCAACAAGGCAGATTGTGTTTACTTTGATCAGCTGAAGCTATAGCTCAGACAGGCAGTTGTTTCGCTTCCCAGCAGCACAGTACTCTCACTTCCCATGTTATGACTGGGAGGCTATAGTTTATTTTTACAGGTGAATATGTACCAAAGATGGCATCAGGAGGAGTCTTGGCTGCACAGAAACAGTGTAAGCAGTGTGAGCATTTGTTTCTTCATTACAAACCTCTTGGTTACGGTCAGTAGGAGGATCTCTGGACATGTTTCCCTTACTGAAGAGGATATAGGTACAGCAGGTGCAGGTAATTTTACCAGCTGCTGCTGGCTTCATTGTCAAATGCAGCTTGGAAGTGGCAGGGAGAGCCAAATTTAACAGCAACACCTTTTTGTTTCGGTCCGCATTGTATAGACACAAAGGTTGGTTCACACATGCTCTACAGCTTTGTTATTAGTGTTTTTGAGAAACCTTTGGTTGCTTTATCCAGTTTTCAAATCCCCTGATTAAATTTTTATCCATGAGTTCACTAAATTCAGTCACCTCCAAACCAGAGAACTAACATTAACCTCTCTAACTGTATCATTTTACGCTACAGGAGACAGTGACTAAATATCATCTGTTTTTTTCTCATAAGATTGTACAGTACATACACAAAAAGATAAGTCATGGTTTACAGCGAGGCTGAGATCATTATATATAACCTCCTGTGGACCTGCATAGAAGAATGTGAAGCAGGGAGAGGGAAAGCTAATATTATATCCTTCTTTATTTGTCCTTATTTTTTCTCTATTGAGAATTAATCCAAAATAAACAACAGACACACCTGTGTCAAGTGAGCGTTTACAAAAAGACAAATATAACTTGAATCCGGCAAATAATGATGCCACAGCGGTCTCTGTGTTCACATATAAAGCAGTTGGGACAGCATGAACCATCCAAGTGTGAAAACTCTTTAACAGGAACCAAAGTTTGCCCCAGATTAGCAGCCTCATCCCGGGAGAGAGGCTGTCAGGCAAGACTACGCTTCCAGCCGCTCACTGGCGAGCGCTCAGGCTTGAGAAACACAACTGTCGCTGTTGAAGGGTGGAAGAAAAAAGACAGGTATTCACCTGCATTGTTTACTGGTGAATATGCAGTATATGCTTAGTTTTATTCACAACATGATGTAATCATAATAGTCAGTGAGTGTTGATTATGAGCAAAGCTGCTCAAGATCTGCAAACACAAAGAACTTCCACAATATTTTAAATAAAGTTTTTAAACTTTGCCTCACAACCATTTTTTTATGTGTCAGGCTACACTGGAAACATCATCTTTAACACTTTTTTGTCATTTGCTTTTTAATAATGCCACATCTCTTCCAAGTATTCATGCGTTGTAAACTGAGAGGATAAGTTACACATTTTTATTTTGTGTTTATGTTTATGAGTTTGCATTTGGTTCCTGCAGCTACAGTTGAATTTCTTTTCCCTAATCACAAGCACAAAATACTTGAAAACAACAAACTGGAATCAAGCAAGAGCCTAAACCCATGAGCAGGCATTGTAAACTTTGTTAGGACTCTTACAAACACTGAAAATAGCTTTGGTATTGGACCCAAGAATAAACTGAATGCGACACATCCACTATACAGTACATGGTGAACTGGGGAGTATCTTGTTTTAGGGAGGAGGAGGAGGTGGAGGTGTGGGTAAGGATGAGGGGCGGCAGTAGATGAACTGGGAGGTGGTATGGAGAGTGGATAGTTCCACGTCAGTGGGTCGTGCCGGTATGGTGCTGCTGACGTCCACGGAGACAAAAATAGGGAATTGCCCTGTGAAGCTTGGTGTACTGATGCTCGTCAGCAGATAAGACTGACAGGTGTGGCTACCTGAGAGCTGAGGGTTTACCTTCACTCCGGATGCTTGTCTCTAGTGTATTATTTTCAGGATTGTTGGTTGGTTCTGACAGAGCACCAGAAACATCACTTTGTTCTTTTCCTAAATTACAGCAATAATGATTTTGTTAAACAAAATTCTTCTGATATTTAAGGTAATGCATTGTTTTCCTTGACATAATTTAAGTGCCCATCACCTTCATGGAAACCACCTGCAGTTTATGATTATGCATTTTAATTTGTAGTATGGATGATTCCAGGAACGTGTGCAGATTTTCACCACCGCTGCTGACAGATGCAGAGTAACAGTGAGCAGTTGTAGTCAAGTATGTATGAATTGTGCAACACTGCACCCAAGTGGATATGACATGATCTACAACTGCATTATTTTTTATGCCCCTCTACCATAATGCCAGTCACATACAAACACAGCAACGTAGTGATGAGATCGAAATGACCTCATGTCCCTGAGAAGAATTTTCTTTTCTTTTCCTTTATCTAACCCTGAGTTCCTTCTCAAACCTGATAATGAAACACTCCGAGTCAATGCCAGACAAATACATAAGAGTTTCTCAGAGGTGCATTCACCCTGGAGATGGCCATTAAATTGAACATAGTGTGTTTTAATTGTGATGCCTTTACAAGTAGAACTGCGAGTTTTAACCAAGCTGACAAAATGGAAACTTTACTCTCTGCCTGGATGTTGTTCTTGCAGTGATACTGCAGGTGTTTTGTCAGCTCTGCAGTGGCAAGATTAAATGATAAGTGGGAGTTCAGGCTATAGACGTTTCAGTGAAAGTGATTTGTATTTCTACTGTTGAGTTCCCCTCCTGCTTTACAAAGCTCATCTTTGAGAAACACTGACTACAAAATGCACTTTATATTACATTCTAAAATATAGAAAAACATTTCTAGATTGATTTCCTACCTTTATGGCAGCAATCCAGTTTTTAGAACATGGATATCAAGTAGCAGAGACTACAGATGTGCTTAAAGCCAATAATGCATTGTAGTGGACATGAATTAGTGCCTGTTCCCAAGTCAATTCACAGCCAGAGTGTGAAACTCTCCTTACTGCTGCACTGTGTGTGACACACCGATGAATGCCAGATGGCTGAAAATGTTTAGTGCATTGTGCTCTTTAGTAAATATGTAAACAAATGCAATCCCTTACTCTTGGTCTATTGATTCCACATGGATCACATACACCAGACAGCCAGAGCACTTTAAAGTAACTTATTGCTCAGCTTAAATCAAATCAATCATCAGAGACAAAGTGCTTTTCACAAAGTGTTATGGCTAACATGCCCCATTCTCAATTCAGTAGTAGTGACTTGAATGGTCAAGTCCTATTAGATGTCTCCTTTAAAGATGAAATGAAAGTCATCTCCTTGACTGGATGGGAAAGTGGGTGCAACTTCTGGAATGCACTGACCAGCTAGTACAGTGTGAGAATATCCCCGATGTTTTCACTGTCCATATAAGACATTTTTATAGTATATGTATGGTGCCTAATGTGTTCTATGTTGTCGTTGTCTAATGTAGGTAGACGGGATCCTGTGCCTAGCAGATATCTTGACTGATGAAAGCAGTGTGGAAGCAGCCAGGGCTGAGGCAGCGGCGGTAGTGGCGCAGATCACATCGCCTCACCACACATCGACACAGCATCTCGGCAGTTTCCTGGAGAGCATGCAGGACATTGTCACTGCACTGATCAGTGAGTGGATATGGCACCAACAATGTAACCTTTTGACTTTTGACCTTTGATTTGTTAGTATGGGCTTTAGTGCAAGTTTTTATTTTAGTTTACAATAATAGAGGTTCGAAGTACAATATTTCAGATTGTACTTTTTGATTGTTACCTTTCAAACACTCCATGGTTTGGCTTCTGGCGTCACCTCTGTCCAATTTTCAAACTGATGTGTTCATAGAAACAGTCTCTCAGGACGACGACCCAGTGCTTGAGGATGTTCACATACTGTATATGCAAACAAACAAATGCTAGGAACTGTAAACAACTGTAAGAAGTATATCTGTTGAGGAAACAACAACCTTAAGGTGGAGAAAATTGTGTGGTTTTTCAACCAGTGCACTTCACTTTTACAGTACTTTCCTTATGTGTTGTTGTGTTATGTTGGAGCCACTGTACTTACTGAATGATGTCATATTCTGTCAGAGTTGTGCGAGAGTGCCTCCTGTGGTGAAGTTTTCCTCTTGGCGTCTGCAGCCTTGGCCAACATCACCTTCTTCGACAGCATGGCCTGTGAGATTCTCCTGCAGCTTAATGCCATTCACATCCTGCTGCAGGCCTGCAAAGACCGCCAGAGGGTAGACACACCCTACTCCAAAGACCAGGTACACATCTGTATTTCAGAATTATTTCTCATAACATATAAACAAGGGCAGCACGGTGGCACAGTGGTTAGTGCCGTTGCCTCACAGCGCGAAGGTTCCGGGTTCGGGCCCCACCCGGGACCTTTCTGTGTGGAGTTTGCATGTTCTCTCCGGGTACTCTGGCTTCCTCCCACAGTCCAAAGACATGCAGCTTAGGTTGATTGGGGTCTCTAAAATTGCCCATAGGAGTGCGTGTGTCTGGTTGTTCGTCTATGTGTTAGCCCTGTGATGGATTGGCGACCTGTCCAGGGTGTACCCCACCTTCGCCCGATTGCTGGCCGGGATTGGCTCCGGCCCCCCCCCCCGTGACTAAGTGGTAGAGAATGAATGAACATATAAACAAAAAAAAAACCTGAACATGCTGCCTTAACTCACTCATCCACTTGTGGGCTGTTCTACTGCACAATAGCAAACTGAACTATATTACTTAAATTGTATGTTACTGATAAATCTCATTATGTTTATCATTTTTTGTTATTTTTATCTCAGGTGGTGACAATCTTGGCAAACCTCTCTGTTTTAGAGCAATGTGCCTCTGAAGTCCTGCAAGAACAAGGTAATCTATTTACCAACTATAATTTTTCATTGTCTGCTTAGTATCATTATTTTTTCCTGCAAAACTAAAACTAGATGAAGGAACTACATCAGGCTCTACTGAATCTACTGACAATCATTACTTTCTGTGCAAGTAAGAAAAATTGGTGTAATTCTTCTTAAGTCCTCAAGATGGAAGCATCAGGTAAAATATGTGAAGTAGCCTGGAAGAGCTTAAATAAAACATCAAGCACTGGCTACATGCTATTATTTCTTAAACATAGATGTAATACATTGTAATGTAATTTTAATCATGTTTGTTCATACTATTCATATTTTCTGCTCTTATATCTGATTTTGTCAGCAGTTTGTCATTTGTCTTTCTGAGCCCATCCTGCATTTTCCATTGACCCATTGTAAAATTAGGAATTAACCTTAAAACCTTATGTCTAACCAGCTGAAGGCCTGACTGTTCTCTTTTTATCTCACCCCCACCCCTTTTTGTGTTTTTGCACCAATGAATTTATTTTCTAGCTGCCCTTTTGCTCCAAATTCCTTCTGTTAGGGATGTGTATAAATTGTGGCTCTGTTTAGGTTCATCTGAGCATTTTGTTGTGACTGGGTTTTATGTAACTTTGTGTTGTTTGGTTTCTGTGTCTGTTTCTGCATATTTTGCATTGCTTTGTCTTGTTCTTTTATATCATACCTTACTGCTTGTCTGTGTTCTGAATTCATTTTTAAAAAATTCTGAATGTGCTGCTTGTTGTTCTTGGGTCCTTTCTGCTCATCCTGACAGCTTTTGGATGATTTTTGGTTTCCTGTCTGGACAGTCTCTTCTGTATATTTATGTGTTTTAGGGATAGAGCGCCTGCTTCTGCTGCTGGGTGAAAAGCCATCCTCATCCAGTCCATCAGAGGGCGCTGCCTGCGAGCGTGTCCAGCAGAAAGCTGCAGTTACACTGGCCCGTCTGAGCAGAGACCCCGACATAGCCCAAATGGCCATCCAGCTTAAAGGTAGGACTACTGCCAAAATTCAAGTTTTTTAAAGCCTATTTATTATTTATTAAATACAGTCTATACAGAAAAGTTGAAAGAAACAGATAAAGTGCTGAAAAACAAATGGAAAAAGAAATTAGCTAAACATTAACAACAAATAAATATTTATTAATGAGAATTAGCATAGCAAACAATTTCATAACTGAAATGCATCCCAGCCAACAGAGGGTGCTTGAAAAACGTTCTAGAAATAGATCTTAAATAATATGTCCAGAGGGAAGGTAAATTAATTTATAACCATAATGACAATATAGATGGGCCTTGAACTGAGCTTTGAGGTACTCCGTTTGTTACTAAAAAGGCAAATTAATAAAATACAACACTGGACACAGTTTCATTATTTATTTACTTTAAGGCAAAAAAAGGCCTTACAAGATTTATACGGGTCAGATGTCTTTATTTGATCACTGAATGATTAAGCTTCTACTTTAATATACAAATTACTGTATACACTGTACATCTATTTTCCTGCAGACCTCTCTGTCTTATGGAGAAACAGCTCTCTGTGAGTGTTGTATGAATGTATACAAGGGTAGCTGTTTTAGTCTGCTTGATATCAATACCCAAGACTGAAACAAGCCCGTAAATGAGTTTTTCCTCTGCTGTCTTTAGCTGTTCCTCGTCTTATTGAACTGTGTCGCTCCCCTACTGAGAGAAATAACAGTGACTCAGTGCTGGTCGCTTGCCTGGTAGGTATAAAGTATGTCTGTGTGTGTGTGTGTAAAATATGTTTAAATGATTCCATGTCCTGAATACAAGAAATATATGTCACTCCAATATTAAAGCTGCCTATTTCATCGTACACCAAAAATACTAGTGTGAGATCATTATACCACAGCTCTGCATGTGTAACGTGAGTGCGCAAAATATCCAATTTAATTACAGCTATAGGGCAATATTTGAAAATTGAAAATCTATCACAAACTTAATATTTTTAAGCCATGATTGCTGACTGGTTCACACTATCTCAAATAATGTAGGCTTAAATATATACATATCAATGAATAATATCACTGCTCATACTTGATCATTCTCTCATTTTGATCACAATTATTAAAACCAGATCTTAAGGCCGATGAGGGAATTTGAAGGGCATAATGGTCAGGAGTTTATCTGGGCTACTTCATTGCACTGAGAAATACCCTCTTCTTCACTGTAACCACACTTGTCAGTCTATTCAAATTAATAAATTATCCTTTTAGCCAGTAGTTAAGTAGTGCATTTGTAGGTCCTGAATTTGTGCCTTCAAAGGACACTGAGCTTTTGCAGATCACTTGTAATCTTAAATGTAAATGTTGGAGGCTCTCTTGGCTGAATGGGTCTGAGACATTACACTTCTTACTCATGCAGTCTTTAATTCATATGAGATGTGGTGCTAAAGAAAAATCCCAGTGTGTTATTAAATGCTGGCCTAGTGGTACTGAATATAATACAGTACCTCTACAGTTTGTTGCTGTTTGCTGTTAACCTGACACATAAAGGTATTTTAAAAAAATGATTTAACATTATAAAACATATTACAGTTACAACATAAACACCAAAGTGATTGCATATGTGTTTACATGATTACAATGTGTGTTTGCATGATCTTGGTATGTGTAAACACATATTTGTGTGATTTTCCCTTTATGCATATGTGTGTGTGTCCAGGCTGCTTTGAGGAGGCTGGCAGCAGGATGTCCAGACAGCATCGAACCAGCCGACCACCAGCAGCTGATCAAACCACGGCTAGTCGACTCTTTCCTGCTGTGTTCCAACATGGAAGAGAGCTTTGTATGACAGCCTGCACACCAATCACTGATATTGGAGAGGTGAACTCATGTACAAGATGATGTACACTTTCATGACACAGAGGACTATTGAGCAGTTTTACTAGAAAACATTCCATCTATTTACAGAGTGGAACTTGATTTGTCACTTCCTGTGTCCTGACATCATTTCCCAAATGTTATACTGGACAATTTGGATTTGAGTGAAAAGAGTGAAACTGCATTGTGCCAGTGTGAATGGGTGATGAAGACATCTATATGTAAGTGTACATAAATGTGTTGCATAGTGCGACTCGGTGATCACAGTAAATCCAATGAATGTGTAAGGTTTTCTAGAAAAAGGTCATTAGTTCATATTATTCAATGGAGAATTTTATATCATTAATTATAACAGTAATTGTTTTGTAAGAGTAGGTGCTACTGTTTGGAAATAAAAGTATAACCTGTTCTGAAACAAAAGCACCACCCAACAATATTTTGTTCTTTTCTGTCCAAATCATTGTGGCTGTCTGAGAACATAAAATGATCCTTCACACAAGTGGATACAATAAAATGTCTTAATAGTAAAAATGATCATCTAAAGAATTTAGTGTTGGAGTACCATGATGTATGTCTGGCTACATTCTTCTTAGTGCTTTTACTGTTGGTCTGTTAAAAAGTAAACAAAAACAAATAAAACAAAAAAAAATGTTTTAATCAACAGCCACTTTATTTACATAACCATTTAACACTAAATTATTACAGTTAGATATTAAATATTACATGTTTTGAGTATGTTTATCTGTGCACCATAACTGACAGGACACTATATGTATTTAAATGTTTTGATTGAGACATATAGCAAAATGGTCTATTTGTCCTGGTTTACAATAAACAGCTTACGTTTTGTATGGCATTTTGAACTTAATTTGTCATTAATCTCAACTTTTGCATATATTTGCTACTGGAAAATGAATCTTTAAAATGTTTTTAAATTTGAACATAAATTAATTGTTATTTAAAGAAAATTACCATTATTGTATGCCATGCATGGAATAAAGGCAAATATTTATCTAATGTTTAGTGTGTTTTATTATAGTGAATTACTCTCATATGTATTGTGGAACCATGTTAAAATGTCAGTTTTTCTGTGTTGGTATGCTGTATGCTTCATGCTTCAATAAATAAATAAAGCCATTACAAAAGAGCACAGAAGACACTTCAGCCAGAATTCTCGAGTTTGTCCTTCAGAGCAAATCTGATTCTTTCTTGTTGGAAGGAACCTGACAAACCATTTACTGAATTTTGTTGTGTTTGTTGTGTCTTGATGCTTTTCTTTTGTCTCTCATCTATCCACTCAACCCAACTGGTCGAGGCAGAAGGCCGCCCACCAAGAGCATGGTTCTATCAGAGGTTTCTTCTGTTAAAGGGAGTTTTTCCTCTCCACTGTTGCCAAGTACTTGCTCAAGGAGGATTTGTTGGGTTTTTCTCTATGATATTGTAAGGTCTAGACCTTACTATGTAAAGTGCCCTATACAAATAAAAACACAAATGAACTTATTTGAATCCAGAAAGTGGTTCTGGTGTTTTCCAGTGTTGCTGTAAATTTTTTGTTTGCTGTTACAAAGCCATAAGCTTCTGATGTGCAAAAAATAATTATCATAGGGTTTGGTGCAAAACACTGTGAATAAAATCTGAAATATTTCCTCCTAGTAATTAATCAGAGGAATCAAAGTACTGCATTTTGGTGCAGTATTTTTTTATCACATTGTGGCAATATCTCAGGCACATGGTGTGAATTTTACTGTGGGAATGGCAAAATCTGTGCAACACCTTAAATTGCATTAAGCACCTCCTAGCTTTTATATAGTCATTGTAGGGAATGACTGAATTGCAAATTAAATAGACTTACATAATAATTTTAATTTTACATCACTGAAAATCACCAAACAATAAAAATATCAATATGAACTATTCTTTGATATTTAAATACAGACAACGCTTATCCTACTGTATTATCAATCCTAAAGCGTCTATAATTAGTGTTTTTTAAAACCAGGGCCCGGTTTGCTATTTGTTGACATTGATCGGATTAGTTAGTTTGTTCTTAATGGCGACTCTCATTGGTCAGGTCGGTGTCACGTGTGATATAAACGGTTCGGAACACCTGCAGTGTAAAAAACGCTAGTAGTTATGGCGGACTCTGGAGATTTGAGAGTAGTGGTCAAAAATAGTTCAGCAAAACAGAAGTGAGATCAGGAGTAAGTTCATAAAATATCAAAGTTAACATTTTTTGAAGGCTCAAAATGACAAAAACGTTGTTTCACGGTTTTGTGACTCCGACAACAAACTGCGGCGGCTAGCTCTAATGTTAGCATGGTGCCTAAAGAATGCCCTAGCCTAAAAGATGGTAAACAGGGACAGGTCTCCTTATTACAAAATGCCAGCTGTGAAGATTGGAAACTTTTGCTTTCCCAGCTGTAGAGACCGCCGAACCAGACATAGGGACCATACAGCTGTCCTTAACACCAAACCAGAAGATCTATACAACACTGTCCTGTTTAAAATTTAAATGTGGTGTCTTTGGCACTGTTCGCTCCTTTTGGCCTAAAGTGGATCCAGGATAACCAGGCGTACACACTTATAAGGGTAAGACAATATTTAATTTTATTCTTCGTTATTCTTCCATTTATATGTTCTAGATTGCATCAGCATGCCCAATAGTGTGACGGTCATCCTGTTGGAGAGATTTGTCTGTTATTTGAGAGATGTGATGAAGTAGAAATAAAATGAATTATTGTACAAGGTTTGACTTGGCAGCCTCACATTTTGCAGTAAGTGGTTACTTGTTGCAGCTATGAGAGAGGGCTGACATACAGTATTTATCTAAACCCAGGGGCTGATGACTGGTTTAAACCACCAACAATATGCCAGTAAGAAGGGGTTGCTCATAGGGATTAATTTAGGGAGAATTATCACTTGAATTTGCAAAAATGGCTTAAATGTAAATTGCTAAAATATAAACCTCCTTATTTCACATTGTGTCGCTGCAATGCCACTGAAAACCGCATGCTTTTTGGGCTCTATATTCCATATACATTCTTTATGGAGCTGGTTATTACTGCTGCACTACCTGACTGACACAACTGTCTCCAGCTGTTATGACCACATATGACTTAATTTCACAGATGGGGCAAGAGGGGCAAAGAGGAGTGGTGGGAGACGAGGAGGGGATACTGCTTGAGTTTTGTTCTGAAGAAGTTAGTTAATGCAGCTTTAACTTAGTTTCACTGCATAACAGGTTGCAGTCAGCTCCTGTTCATCTTTGTTGTGAAACACTGCTACACCTCTGGTACAGCAGACAAACCCCACATTCATGGTTCATGCAGCTAAGGCTCCCTGGAGGGCCTTCTGACCTCCAGCTATCTCTGAGGAACTACACTCACATATATATCTTGCCAAAAATTCAGGCACAGGGATGAGAAATGTCTTTGAATGAGGCTCACAGATAAAGACAGAGGCAAAGATACTAAGAGAAGGTCCCAAGAGTCTACCTGTTGGTCTTCTGTGAACCACCAGGTCTTCTCAAAAAAACCAGGAGGGACCTTTACTATTAAGTCTCTAACTTTTCAAAAATCACTGGGCCTCACTGGGTGGGGGGTGGTGAGAATGTATTGCAGTTGGGCACGTTAGACAAAACTTGTCATCAAAATGTCAGGTATTCACACACTGAGGATTCATTCATTCATTGATGCATTTATTCATAATAACTTTGAAAAGGATTCACAAGCCCAAGTGCTGCAAAGTTTTATACAACAGTTTTCAGCTGTCCAAGTGAGTGATAGCACAGAAACATGTGAGGGCTTATCTGTACAACTTGTCCTTTGTATTGTCATCTCTTTGATGAAAAACAGTTTTTTCCCTCTCCATAAGACTTCCTCTCCTTGGAGAGACAGTTGAGGGTCTTCTTGCTTTCTCTGGAGCTTCTTTTTCACCTAAGGGCACTTATGCTGAGCCTGCACTTGTTATCCTCCTACCCAAGTGCTGAGACAATTGAGCTGCTTTGTGTGTGCGTGTATGTGTGTTGTCCAGCATTCATGCGGGACTGTGTTCAGAGGCCTCTGTGATAGAATATGCTCCTGCCTCGCTTTGTTCAGACCCAATGAAATATGTATTGATGCAGAGGAGGACTAAACAGGCAGTCTAAAAACACAGGTTTCTTTGATATTGTTTTGGTTCGACCATGACCATGAAACCAAGTATTGTAGCTCTGAGTTTTTCAGTGTTTCTTAGTTTCTAAGCTGCTGAACTTTAACTTTCCCTTTCTACATTGCCTTCTGTATGTATATTGGTCCCATTCTTATTTTTTTTTTCCTTACTGGCAGTTTGATCAAAGTAATACCAGGTAGGAAATTAATTCTAATGTTTTTGAAGATGCGAGTGCTTGTTTTAGGACCAAGCTAACTCAGGCAGCTTGTTCAGAGCATAACAGTCTGTTGGTAAGGATGCTGATGTTCCAGCTGCACATTATATGTAGCTGCATTTCCACTGTTTGAATATAATGAGCGGTACACCCTGTGCTTCCCATTACCGTCACACGGCAAAATCTCACGGGTTGATGCGGACTGTCATACTTTGCTTTTCCACTGTATGTGCCGGTCTCTGTTTAGAGGAGGGAGGGGCTGCACTCCTCTCTCTCTCTCACACACACACACACACACATCTGCAGATGACGTGAAGTGCTTCCATAGTGCAACAATCAGCCAGTAACGCAGAGTGTATGGGAGGTTTTTGTTCTCACTGTTGCAGTTGTGCTGATGAAGCCTATGGCATGAAGTTTGTACTGAGTTTTCATTTAGTGGCTGTCTGGTGTAGCTGTCATTACTCTAATTAAACATGCTTCCAAAAAAACACTAAAGTGATGACTGTCCTGCTCTGAATGCAGAGGCATTTTACTGGCAGCAGTAAATGCTGAAAGATTTCCTGGACTGATAAAGTTGGTGACAGTATTTGGACACCCATCTGACAAATGTAGGCCACCAGCTGAGAAGGTGTTAACAGCAGCTCTACTACCTACAGACAGGAAAGGAAGTTCGGCAATTTTGAGCAAAGTCATTATTTTGTGGTGTTAAAGAAATAATTTGTGATTTTCAGGTTGGTGTTAAAACAGTGTTGATGAATCCCTATGTATGTGAGAATAGGTCTTGGTCGTTGTCACTTCTCCTACTCTACACACTGAACCTGAATGTTTATATCTGGAACACCTCTATGCTGCAAAAAATGAGGGACAAGCTACACCACACATGTTTTACCCATTGTTTACTACTAGAGTTGTGCTAAGTGATGATTTTATAGTTTAAACAGTTTTATGTAAATCTGTTTTTTTTTTTCATTCAGCCATAGTAAGCTGCAGTACAGAGTCATTTTTATCTTCTTTTCACGGTCTGTTCCAAACCAAAAATCTGACATTCTGTGTAGCAAAAGGATGCAAGGACTTGCAGTCTAATGCAAGAAGACATTTTTCTGCCACTCCAGAGATTGAATATTTTGTCTCATATATTTTGTTTCTGACTTGGAAACGTTGCTCTGTCTTAGGCTTTTTATTTCTGAGGGTGAAAGTGATTGACATTTCTCTTTCCTTTGAAACTGCTTTCAGAAGTTTTTAAATTAGACTTTTTACATTTGCAAAACGCACAAATTAGTAAAATAATTTGGCCAAACTTAAAAGGCAAATTCCTTTGGCCAAAAGATTAAAAAGATGTAAAACCACATATTTTCATGATGCACACAAAGAACCGTGGACTCTTGTTTCCACTGTTAGTCCATCGATGAGCTGCTCTCCAAACGCAGCTGATCTAAGGCTCAAGGACTCTATCATCAGGAAGGGATGGTTAAGGGGCTTCTACTTGGAACAGCTCCCTGAAAAACAGGCAAGATGATGTCCTTCTGAGGTGTGTTAAGATGCACATTTGCAAAGTTTCTAATAAACTGTCCTCTCCTCTCATTCACGTAGTAAAATAAAGATTGAGACAGCACTGAGTTCAGTCTGCTCTGCTTGACAGACACTGTCTGATAACTGACATCCCTTTGAAACCAATAATTTCAGTTTATTTAAACTACAGTTGCATTGTGTTAGAAACAAGATGATAGTTCCCACACATTTTTTGGTGTTAATTACTGCAGCAGCAGTTCATTAACAAGTGGCCAACTGTGACCAACATAGAGCCCCCAAAAAGTCTGCTGTTGGCTCTCCAGTCCACTGATGTGTGTGTGTGTGTAACAACAGGGAGGTCCACTGTTGGATAGGTCTGCAAGCACACAGCATCCTGCCGCATCACATATAGACCTCACAGTATACAGACACTAATTATGACTCAAATGCTATCATTTATTGGACAGCCAATTAAGAGAGCAATATTCCTGTTCATAGATACCATTAGTCCACTCCCCAGCTGACTCCCATTAGAGGACCCAATGGGATTTTAATTGCTGAAATACAACCACAACATAGTGTGAATTATCAGAATTTTGTGGTCACAACGTTTTGGCCACAGTCAGTGGAGGGTAAAAAACATAATGCCAGAAATGTTCAGGAGTTAGTTTACAATGATCATATGGCCTTATCCTGTAGCTGCCATGCATTAAAGCATAGACCCAGAACTGGCAGCCCACGGGCCACATCTAGCTTACCGAAGCCAGATCATCCCTAAGACTGCCTGTGGTATTTAGATTTTTTTCTTCCAAAACCCCTAAAACAATTGATGGAAATAATTTTATTACAAATAATTTACTGACCCCAAATATGTGCATTCAACCCATGTTTTAAATTTATCTGTCAGCTTATTATCAGTGAGGAGACTATACAACCCGATGCAGGAATCAGGTCTATCTCACTCACAAACTAATAGGTTGATTCGCTGGTAGCCTACAGTGTGAAATACACTGGTTGCACACTGGTTTTAAGATAGACTTTTATGAATGGAGTGTGACTTGTGCTGTGGAACAAACTCATTTTCACATTTAACATTTTGTTTTATGTATGTATATTTTCACGTGCTCTTATTTAACAGTTCAGCATTTAAGTAGGCCTATAAGTGTTAGTTTACAGTGATATAGAGCAGTAAAAATAACTTTTTATTAATTAAGCCTAAATATTATTATGCGATAGTCTGGCCCCCATAGTGTCTGCTCAGAAAAAGTCTGGCCCTTGGGTATATGTAGCTGATAACTTCAAATTGTTTTGTCATCAGCTTGAAACACTGATGAAAAAGAACAGCTTTTTATCCAGCCTGGGCTATATATGGCATGAACATATTCCATGTTTGATTACAAATCTGGCCTTTTTGGCCCCTCTTTGCTCCGAAGTGACCAAAACAAGCAAATTTACGTAACACCTTTAACCCAGTTGTTTTTTCATATTGTATGTGAGTCATTTAGAATAAGAGGTAGTCTTTCACCCTATTTTCCAGCCAGTGTTTAGCCAGCATCCACTCAATAAAACAGACAATTTTAAATTTTCCTGGAGTTTTTTATGTAACATTTTGATGAAAGAAACTTGAGAATTCAGCATAATGAAACAGTTTACTGATACGCAGTTATAACAGAACTCAGAAGAAGCATCTGCATGTTAATCTGTACTAAAACTACAA